GTGCATCATGAAGAACAATACGTAAGTAATCATTTATTGTAAATTGCTATAGTTTCTGCGTTACAAGAGTTTTAGTAGATACTAGTAAGTAATAAGGTTTCTAAAAAAATTTGAATAGAAAAATTAATGGATCAATAGTTTTTGAAAAAAAATTATTATTTGTTAATATTTCTGTCATTCTGCTATACATTTTACACATTTCCATTTCTTTACTTATTATTATCATTATTATCGTTTCTATTTGCTTCAGTTAAGTTTCTCTTCATAAAAATTATGTATTTTTCATATTTTATGAATTAAATACCTATCTCTTTCAATTTAATAGTTTAGGCATCACATAAAAGTGTTTTACTCTCACAGTTAACTGTTTTCTCCATAAAACATATACAAACAGCTTCACAAATACAAATAGTTTGTGGTTTATTGTATTGTGTATCATTCTCAGTTTAGCACAATTCCAGTATTNGCCATTGCACAACCAGCCATACACGCAGCACCAGTATTAGTAAAATCCACCCCATTTGCAGTGCATCATGAAGAACAATACGTAAGTAATCATTTCTTGTAAATTACTATAGTTTTTGGGTTACTAGAGTATTAGTACTAGTAAGTAATGGGGATCCCTTAGACATCAAGCAGTCGATTGCAATTCAGAAACTTCATACCCATACGGTTTGTGGGTTTGGAGTTGGTGGGTTTGGGGTTTGTAAGCTTGGGGTTTGTAGGTTCGGGTTTTGTGGGATAGGGGTTTGTGAGTTTAGGGATTGTGGGTTTGGGATTTGTGGGTTTGTGGATGTAGAGTTTGTGAGTTTGAGTTCGTATGTATTGAAGGTTTCTGAGTATGAACTTTCTGAACTGCAATCAACTGTTTAACGTCTAAGGGATCCTTGGTAGATTTTCACAAAAAGAAACTGATAAACTTAGAAATTTCAACATGTGATATCTCAACAAAAAAAAAAGATATTTGAGCAAACTCAACGGCATTCGAAAGAGGGAGCCTTGTACTTTTAAATTATATGTATTTAAAAAAAGAATATATGGCATTACTACATAACCTCAAATATGACGAAAAACAGTGTTTTTGAACTTTTAGGTTAGGATATCTCAAAAACCTGTCGTGATAGAGCAATTCTGCTGCCAGATTCGGATTCAGCGCACCAAAATCCTTCGGGAATGCATATTAGTGTGTCTGCTTCTTGACCCTTGTCGACCTGTATTATTTGATAATATTTCTGTCATTCTATTATACATTTTATACATTTGCATTTCTTTACTCATTGTTATCATTATTATCGTTTCTATTTTCTTCAGATGCGTTTCTCTTCATATGATGTATTTTTCATATTTTACGAATTAAATATCTCTTTCAATTTAATAGTTTAGGCATCACATAAAAGTGTTTTACTTTCTCAGTTTTCTCCATAAAACATATACATATTTCAAATTAGTTACAATTAATATGAGTTGTACAATTTCTTTCAACAGCTGCATAAATACTACAACTGTGTGGTTTATTGCATTGTCTTTCATTCTCAATTTAGCACAATTCCAGTATTCCGGTTTCTATTACAAGTTTCTTCAGTTTTGTCATAATTTGCGTTCTATAATCTATGCATCCATTGGTTGCCTACTAGAGATGTCTCTTGGATATAATGTGCTGTTTTTGCTTCCCTATTGCAGTCTGTAATCTAGGTCTCTGTTATACAGCCCAATACTGTTCAAAATGCCATAATACCTGTAAGGAGACGTGTCACTATACATAACTGACTCCAATCTAATGACCGTAGTTCTTCGATATTCTTCCTTGGTGATTATTTGATGATAATACTCCATATTGGTCCCTAGGCAAATTGTTCTGTTATGCTGAACAATGACAAATTATCCTTACGGCAGTTGCAGTTGCAGTGTTCCAAACTACTAACTTTTTTATTTAGAAATCAGCATTTTGGTGTAACATAGTTTAAGCATTATTTAAATCACCAGAAATGACACTTAGAAGTTTATGTCTGCAGAAATATGTGGTTAATATTTCGATTACTATTTTAATATTGAATGAAGCAATTAAAGATAAGTACCAAAGTCATGTGTTAGCGTTCAGTCATGTTCTCTGAGTATTATTATTTTATCATTTCGAGACCATTTACATACTGATTTATATAATTTACTAAATCATTTACCATATAATTTTAGGCACCCGCCAAATACGAATTTGCTTATGGAGTTGAGGACCACCATACCGGCGACATCCATTCCCAAAAGGAAAGACGTGATGGAGATTTAACTCAAGGCGAATACTCCCTTCACGAAGCCGATGGTACCATCAGAACTGTCAAGTACACCGTTGACAAACACAGCGGATTCAACGCCGTAGTGGAAAGGACTGGTCACGCTGTTCATGCTCAATCCACTCCTGCTAAGGCTGTATATGCCGCCCCTATCGTGAAATCAGTTGTAGCCGCCCCTGTGTACCACCATTACTAAGTTATTCTTGATGTTTCTATAACTACTGTCTCAGTATTTCCTTATTTATTTATAATAAACTATTTTTACTATATGAATTATTTTAATACTGATATCTACACGAATCTCTAAATATATTTTTGTAAAAGTCAAATTAGTTCTGTTCTATATGACTTTTTCGAGAGACTGTACAAATTTTGTACCATCTCTTTCTAAAAGCTCTAGATTAATTTCAATTGTATTGTACTTAATAACCTTTTAAGACAGTTTAACTTCTAAATCTTTGAAGTTCAATTTATGGCCAATAAAATAGGTACCCAATTTATGGCCGATACAATAATTGGACACTTATCCACCGCTCCGTCGCCGTCGTGATAAAATCTACTAACGAGTATCAATGTCAAAATAATATGTTTGTAATCCAATTCACCATGGTGCGGACACACCTACTACTGGGATTAATTTAGTAATACGAAATTGTAGTAGGAAAAAGAAGTGTTTTATGTAACAATAAGTAGATTCATATCAAGCAACCGTTTTCTCTGATTTTATAAATTGTGATAAGTGACACTTTTCGGTAATTATAAAATAACATATAGCAATGTAGTTATATTCTATAAAAAAATCGTTAAACAATAATTTACGAATACCAAACGTAAGATACTTAGGGTAAATTTTGGGCAGATTCCTTTTCTGGTGAAATGTCCTACAAAAATTGTTAGTACTGTTTAATTTAAAGAACAAACTGCATTTTTTTCTTATATGAATATGGTCCGATTCGTTTTTGTTTAGAAGCTACAAGCATTTAAAAAATATATTATTTCGTATTTCAAAGTAGCGTGATAAATAAAAATGATTCGTGTTTAGAGTTTAAACATTAGTTAACCTTTATTAACTGAATTAACATATCTTAAATGTCCACCCTCAGCTCGAATGTAAGCTTCACATCAGAAAACTAGAGATTCGGGCAGTGATTTCAACATGGTAGACAAGCTGCTTCATATGTCTCCATAAATAAAAGTCCTGAACCAGCTGTGATGTTCCTACTGCTGGAAGAAAGCAATTATTAAACCTAATCTTACCAAAAAAACAAACCCTTCAGAGTTGAAAGAATTACATCCGATAAGTATTCTACCCACACTATCGAAAATTCTAGAAGAGAGAGTTCTTGAACATCAAATTAATATATATTTGGATACTCATTCATTGCTACCCTCACAGCAATCAGGTTTTCGTAGACTTCAGTTGTACTACTGCTTTACTTCATATTACTGATCATCATAAACGCTACAGATAAAAGCCAGTGCACAGTATTAGTTATGTTGGATTTTAGCCGAGCATTTGATACTGTACACCATGATTTGATGATGATGTTAAAATATATAGGTTTTCAAATAACGCATGTTTATTATTAAAAAATTACGTTAAACTTAAATGGCAAAAAGTTAATATTGACGGGATTCAATCATATTATGTTTCGTTAAAATCAGCTGTTCTACAGTGATCTATACTTGGACCATTATTGATTAAAATTTATACTTCTCCTCTTGTAACTAAAATACGTTATTGCAACGCCCACTTATACGCCGATGACACTCAGATGTATTATAGCTTTCAACCTCACGAAGTGCGACAAGCTTGTATTACCATTAATGATAGTTTAAAAACTTTTATTGATTCCGTAACTGAACATTGTCTACTTATTAAACCTATTAAATCTAAAGTAATGATTTTTGGTAGACATCACCGTACAAATTTGTTAAATTCAATTAATATTGTCATTAATAATAAATTGCTCGAGGTAGTAATAAAGCAGAAAATTCTGGTATAATATTTGATTCCGATTTGAGGTTTGAAAAGCATGTAAATAAGTTATTACAACGAGCGTATTGTAATATTAAAATAATTTATGGAAATCGTCATTTATTNGTATCCAGTAAAATATACTAATGTACACCCATTACCTGTTAGCATTAGTGTTACCCGATAATTACCTGAAACGAAATATTAGCACGCCCATGGCCGGTTCTTATCTCGGGATTTTATTACTCTCTTTCATTTCCAAACATAGTATAGTACTGTTTAATTTAAAAAACAAAGTGCATTTTTATATGTTATTTCAAAGTAGCGTGATAAATAAAAATGATGATGATAATTATTATTCGTGTTTAGAGTTTAAACATTATTATACAATATTAACCGCCGAATTAACAAATCTTAAATGTCCACCCTCGGCTCGAATGTAAGCTTCACATCGGAAAACTAGAGATTCGGGCAGTGATTTCAACATGGTAGACAAGCTGCTTCATATGTCCACATAAATAAAAGTCCTAAACCAGCTGTAATGTTCCTACTGCCTGGAAGAAAGAAATTATTAAACCTAATCTTACCAAAAAAACCAAACCCTTCAGAGTTGAAAGAATTACGTCCGATAAGTATTCTACCCACACTATCGAAAATTCTAGAAGAGAGAGTTCTTGAACATCAAATTAATATATATTTGGATACTCATTCATTGCTAC